GATGAGTCTTGGTGTATTTATTGACGGATGCCTCATTATGGATGCGCTCGTGGACTACCAATGGAAAACTTGCTACTTCCACCTACGGGCCATTGGAAACATTCTCCTAACAAATGATGTTACCAGAACTTTGATTCAGGCCTTAATCATGTCTAGACTAGTTAATTGTGACAGTCATCTCTATGGCATCAACCACGACCTCCTTACACGCCTTCAAAAAATCCAAAACACTGCAGCATGAATTGTCACCAGGACGTCCAAACGGTCACACATCACCCCAGTTCTGAAAGATCTTCACTGGTTGCCCGTAGAGGCAAGGCTCCACTTTAGAACGCCATGACTTGCCTTATAGATGTCAGCATGACCTAGCTCCAGCATATCTCAGTGAACTCACCTTAGATCACAAGGCCTCCAGAAACCTCCGGTCAGACCACCAACAACTCCTGTCTGTTCCCAGAACTAAAGTGAAACTCATTGGTGAAAAGGCTTTCAGTACATCAGCCCCCATACTCTGGAACAATCTCACTCCCGCCATAAAGAATTCACCAACTGTAGCGTAGTAATGTTATACATCATGTAATGTAATGTGATGTAGTGCGCATGTGCGTGGCGTATCGGATGCTCTGGAACTCGGGAAGTAAAAGGCTTATCGTCAACACTTAGTTGTGTCGTCTCTCCTCCTGGCAACAGCAAGTCATGCAGTGAAGGCCCCATAGAACACTACATTGGCGACGAGGATGTTTGTTTCCTAGGATTTCAAGTGGTGAGACTAGGCATGTTAGTTATACGAACTCTAACTAACTGCTGAATCAACTCAGAACTTTTCGAGTCTCGATATAGCCGACCCGTAGTCAGAGATACATTCCGCCATGTTTTCCCGTGCACATGTGATTTTTCAGTCGACCCATGATATCATCTTTACTACTTGTGTTGAACACGTACAGAACTGTCTAGCATAATGAATTTACTTCTACTCATCATCTATATCACGTTTATAACTTCGTTTGACGTGTTGGAGAACTTCGTTATAATGTCAGGTCTTAGACCGCCACCAACTTTGAACATGAACGCTAGTGACTTAAGTAATGAATTCAAGTTGTGGATGGAATCTTTCAAATTGTTTGAAATAGCCAGTGGAGTTAATGAAAAAGAAGATAAAGTGAGAAAAGCAACGTTACTTCATTGTTTGGGACTTCCATGTCAACGTATATTTCACACGTTACCTGGTGAAAAAACTCTTATGCTTCAGCTGTAACTACATTGGAGGGTTATTTCATTCCAAAGAGGAACATTGTTGCTGAACGTTACAGATTTAGGTCTAGAGCACAGAGTTCTGATGAAAGCATTGATGTTTATGTGACAGATTTACGTGAACTTGCTAAAACATGTGACTTTGGGTACTTTGAGTGATGAAATGCTTCGTGATCAGATAGTTGAAAAGTGCTATTCCAAACATTTGCGAGAGAAACTTTTATTACAAGATAATTTGACTTTGGAGTCAACTTTGAAGATAGCTAGATTATATGAGATGGCTATGGAGAATTCCAAAACATTTTGTGGAAATTTAACTACTGTGAATAAGGTTAAGGTGTCTTCGCAGCCTGCTAAACCATTTCAGTGCTATAGATGTGGTTATTCTGATCATCATCCATCTGAATGTGGATCTATTGGTGCAACTTGTCTATCTTGTAAAAGGAAAGGTCATTTAGCTAGAGTGTGCAAAAGTAGAAAGTCTAAGAAGCCTGAGGCTAGTGTTTCTGTTTCACACAGGTCTAGAGGTAGAGGAAAGAATACATCTAAGCAGCATGGTTACAAGCCAAGGTTAAATTCAGTCTTTGTAGAGGATGGTGATTCTGATTCATTTTCTGAAGATGCAGAGTTTGTACACTATCTTGACTCAGATTGTTCAACTACTGTTGATGAGAACTGGTAAGACGTTCAAAGGATATGGATCACTCAACATTATTTCCAACAACTTGAACTGTTTGGGATATTTTCAAAGGATATGAACAGTCAAAACCATTGAGACATAGTGGTGATAAAGAGGGTTCTGACAGAAGTGGTAAAGATTTCTGACAGAATCTATGTTATGTCTGGTAATGAAGTGTCATTACTGGGAAGAAAATATGGTTAAGATCTGATGTGTGAAATACCTGCCATCTTCAGATATTTACAAAACTCTGAACTAACAAACTGTCGGCCATTGTCAGTAACAATGCTTTCAGGAAATCCATGCTCTGACAATACCCTTTCAAGCTTCTCAATCACTTAAGATGATGTAATGTCTCTAATCACAACTGCGCACGGATAATGATGATAACACTTGCGCCTGTCAGCAGCACTGTGTTTTTGCTCTCTCATAAATCTGTATTTTCAAGCATACAGCATTGCTGTAGATGAATGAAATTTGGCACACATGTGGATGAAGGGACTGAGAACATATACATGCTGATGGATTTTAGCATATCATTCATTTTGATGTGGAAACATCTGTTTTTCATAAACATTTTTCAAATTTTCAAAATCTACCCTGTGATTGACCCAAGCTTGGTGACTCTCACCCCACTGGACTCAGCCTATTGTTACAGAACAATGGGTAAAGGTGAAACAATGGACACCAATCAGGCGTTCAGCAAACCTCACCTGCAGTACACTAGAGCTGACTGTCTCTGTATTCGAGGAAATTTGACTGGATACTTGGAAAGTAGTCTATGGTCCACTCTCAAAAGGTTGAATATTAGCCGTGTGAAAGGAACAAAGAGAGGAACAAGAGGAGGTACCCGTAGGAGAATACAGGTTCACACAAGCTCTGAGGATTACAGGCAAAGTTCAGATAAACGAGGAGTCAATTTTAATAACTTAATTACAATTTGTCCAATAAAAGCTAAAGGACCTTGCAACAAGGTTAGCAAATTCAAACTAACCTTACTAAATGCTCAGTCTGTTAGGAATAAATCTCTCGCTTTGAATGACTACATGACTGACACAGACTCTGATGTGGTTGCTATCACAGAGACATGGTTATCCAACCGTGACGCGTCAGTTACTGCAGAGCTTGTCCCTAGTAATTACAACATCATTCAGGTTAATAGGTCGGATAGAAGAGGAGGTGGTATTCCACTTGTATATAGGCAATCCCTCAAGATGAAACGCAAGAAAGCAATTACTTTCAAATCTTTTGAATATGTTCATGCAACATTTGAGGTTTGTAGTGACATGCTGAGGATTGTGTTACTCTATCGGCCCCCACCTTCACAGAAGAATAAGCACACATACAGCGACGTTTTCCGGGATTTCTCAGACCTTTTGGAATCCATTTCTCTGGAACCAGGAATTCTTCTAATCATGGGTGATTTCAACATCCATGTGGACAATCGTGCTGATCATATGACTAAGATGTTTAATGAACTGTTGAGCACATTTAATCTGGAGCAACATGTGACAGAGCCCACTCACAGATCAGGCCACACACTCGACCTCGTCATTACTAACGAGATGTCAAGTGTTCTCAGCGTCACAGAAGTTATTGACGAACAAATGTCAGATCACTTTGCTGTTCACTGCACAGTCGATGTTGACAGACCAAAACCACAGCGGAAGAAGCTGTCATACAGAAAAACTAGGAACATTAACATTGCAGATTTCTCATATGATGTCGATGCTGCTGACTTGGTCACTGCCCTGTCCAAAATCAGCAATATTGACGAGAAGGTTGCATTGTATGACCATTCTCTGGGAGTGATACTCGATACTCACGCACCCATGAAAACTCAAACTGTAGTAGTTCGTCCTCATACATCCTGGTACAACGATGACATTCGAGCAAAGAAGAAGATCAGACGTGCTTCTGAGAAACAGTGGCGTTCTACAAAGTTAGAAGTTCATCGTCAAATCTTCAAAAAAGCTCGAAATGATGTCAATGATGCCTTGAAACTAGCTAAGCAGAACTTCGTACAGAAGAGCATCAAGCAGAGTAAAAACAACTTCAAACAGATGTTTGCTCTGGTGAATAACTTACTTGCACCTAAGTCTAACTATAACCTTCCCGATCATGACGACAAAGAGGAATTGGCTGGGAGATTTGCTGAATTCTTCCACACCAAGATTCACTCCATTCGACAGGAACTGGAACTGAAACGCCAAGTTCACGACATCACTACACTGGAGTCTTTCGACAGTGTTTCAGCAATGAATTCTCTCAACTGCGCCACCTCTGGAGAGGTTCGAGACGTAATCATCAAGTCCAAAACCAAATCATCTTCACTTGACCCAATTCCAACATGGCTCACAAAGTCTATAATCGACCATCTTGCTGAACCAATCCTGGATATCATCAACACATCCCTCGTCTCCGGTATAGTACCAAGTGCCTTCAAGCATGCCCTTGTGACACCAATTCTGAAGAAACCAACACTTGATCCAGAGGACTTGAAGAGCTTTAGGCCGGTATCTAATCTGTCATTTTTATCGAAGTGTCTGGAAAGAATTGTTGCTAAGAGGCTCCTTGATCATCTTCACGCTAACAATCTCTTGGAAATTTATCAGTCAGCATATAAATCTAAACACTGCACAGAGACAGCTCTTGTGTACATTCACAACGATATCATGACTGCAATGGACCATCAGCAAGTTACTCTTCTTATTCTCCTGGACTTATCAGCGGCTTTCGATACCATCGATCACTGTATCCTCTTCAGGCGGCTAGAGACCAGCGTTGGACTCACAGGAACGGCACTGCAGTGGGTAAAATCGTATCTTTCTTCTCGGACAGAGTCAGTAAAGATTGGTGACAAAATCTCAATACCATCATTGGTTCGCTATGGAGTGCCACAGGGTTCTGTTCTGGGACCCTCCTCTTCAGCTTGTACATTCTACCAATTGGAGACATCGTGAGAAGTCATTCCCTAAAATTCCATCTCTACGCTGACGATAATCAGTTGTATATTTCCATCAAACCATCAGAAGTTTCACAAGGAGTTCATAAGATCGAACGCTGCATAATGGATATCCGGGAATGGATGGCTGTCAACTATTTGAAGTTGAACGACAGCAAGACTGAGTTCCTTGCCATAGGCTCACGGCAACAGCTGCAGAAGATGCCACCTGGAATCACGCTCAAGATAGGAACTGAGGATGTGAAGACCTCAAACTCAGCCAGAAATCTGGGAATCATCTTCCAGTCCAACATGTCCCTAGATGAATATGTCAAGTCCCTCTGCAAGTCATGTTTCTTTCACATCTACAACATCGGCAAGATCCGCAACTTCCTAGACACCGAGACAACAAAGCTCCTAATGCAAACACTTGTAATCTCAAAGCTGGACTATTGCAACTCACTCTTTAACTCACTCACACGGCATCTTCAACACTTTCTAAATTGCAGAAAATTCAAAACGCAGCAGCTCGTGTGGTCTCTCGAACCCATCGCCATGACCATATATCGCCAGTTCTGAAATCCCTTCACTGGCTTCCAGTAAAGTACAGGATCTACTTCAAGATTCTGCTACTGACTCATAACTGCCTCTACGATGACCAGTCCTGTGACTACCTTCGCCAGCTTGTACATCTGCATGTACCCACCAGAGCTCTTAGATCAAAAGATACGTTAAGACTAACACAGCCAAGCACTAAAACATCAATGGGTGATAGAGCCTTTTCTGTAGCAGCACCAGCTCTGTGGAACAATCTTCCAGTCACCCTCAGACGAACTGAGTCACATTCACAATTCAAGAACTTGCTCAAAACCTACTTCTTCAAGATGGCTTCTGAATAGAACTCTTTTCACACTTATTGTGTTTTTAACGATGTTATGCAGCGCCGTTGAGCATCTATGATGGAAACTAGGCGCCATACAAGCCAATTATTATTATTATTATTATTATTAATACCTCCACGTATCTGTTAAACTGCCTTCGTGGTCCAGCGGAAAGAGAGAACGCCCACTGAGCGGACGTCATGTGTTCCATCCCCTGGTTGGTCCGTTCGGAATGTTATAGGTGTGTTTTGTTAAACTGCTGAAAGGAAAGCATGTCTTGTGCTACCGATAGCAACCACAACTCACACAGAAATGGGCCGTAAACAACTTGTCCGGACAGTCCACTGACACGACAGCGAGTCTTGACCAGACAATCAAGTGAAACGATAGCGCATATAATGATTTTGTTGACATTGAGAAAGATATGTTGAATTCCTTCAGTTGGGTACAAATGAAGAGATTTTTTTGTTACAAATAAAATGAAAACACTTAAGATATATGTTCTTCTTTCAACACAGTGTGAGACAGTTTTAATGTGTGGGTTCTAAGATATCTTTTAATAAATGTTTCTCAGTTTAGATAGCATAATGACATTTATGTTGAGTGACGACGCCAAGAGTGAATTCTCAGCATGTCTTCACGAAACAAATAGTTTCAAATAGTGATGTAACCAGATAATGCATACAGCCACACACACACACGTGCATGTATGTCATGACACAAGTGCAATACCCTTAAAGGCGACGTTATGTCCCATTACCTATTGTATAACCGTCCATCAGCAGCCCACTGCGTGTCAAGGGAAGAGTGTGTGAATACAGTCACCGACAGTCATGCGAGACATATCCGCAAAATGTCTTAAGCTTCAACTGCTTCTCATAGCAGGTCTGACCTCAATTTAAGCTAAGCCTCAAAGTAAGAACGGAGAACATTGACTCATATTAACTGTGAACATTCTTGGGGGTCACGTGACAGCAGTGCCAGCTCGACAGCGCCCTCCACATCCTGAGAAGAGAGTTCATTTCTGAAGGAAAACCTCGTCTTTGAGAAGGTAAGTCAGCATCACCCATGCTGAATAGTTACGGAATCCATAGCGTGTGGCCATTTCTCAACTTTTGTAATGAATTCATGGAATTCGGGTAATTCATGTATTCATATTTTAAGGAAACACATTCCCAGTCAAGATGTCCCTGACGAAGACAGTGGTGGGCTGCGACTCAAATGCCATTACACGAACAGTCGAACTTTCTTACGTTGGCTTGTCATGTTTCCGCAAAATTGTTCTGTATAATGAATGCTTGCAAATGTCATGTGTTTGAAGTAATATCTTCATGCATATATCTTCACGTACACAACAGGCATTGTACCATCAGCGCCTCTAAGGTGTAGTGGATAGAACGTTAAAGGTCACATGCAACCAAAAAATCAAACATAATTAAAACACAATTATCACTTATTCATGACATATAATATACATTGCTGGTTATGAAAAAACATATAAACAAAATTATAAGCGTACAATCGCAAATCAAAAGTGCAATATTGTGTACTTGGGCTTACTTCCCAAGAAACGGGGGCGGTGGGGTAGCCTAGTGGTTAAAGCGTTGGCTCGTCACGCCGAAGACCCGGGTTCGATTCCCCCCATGGGCACAATGTGTTAAGCCCATTTCTGGTGTTCCCCGCCGTGATATTGCTGGAATATTGCTAAAAGCGGCGTAAAACTAAACTCAGTCAGTCAGTCCCAAGAAACGAAGCAGCCGGGATACCGAACCCAGTCAGAGCGGGTGGATGTGCACTCAAGTGTAGCGGCTGGTTGTGTATAACATTTTACAATCAACAGACATCATAACATGTCATGTGTTCAAGTATCACACCTGCCTGTCTGTGTAATTACATAATGTGACAGAGACCGAACTCGGGCCATAAATCAATGCATTTTGTTGATGGTGTATAGCCTGATTGGTGTTAAGTTCAAATTGCATGTGGTCAGTGATAGCAGCTGTGTATTGAATATTATCATTAGCAGACAGGCAGGCAGACACACAGGTGTCAATAAAACAAGACATTGAGTTTTGTCTGTGACAACGACATATCTATATCACAGTTAGAAATTCTGTCAACGCTAAATAATGACATTGCTTTTAAGTATCGAACTGAGAAAGTGACTCGGTAAGAAGAACGTGTGGTGAAATAGACAAAAATTATATAAACAGTTAATTTACTGTCATAACATATAAAAAGCTCGCACCTGTGAGATATCAACAAAACATTAGAAAAATAGCTGGCACCAAAGCCTTCACCGAGTATTCACCCGACAATCCGCTTCCAAGCTGCGCGAACCTATTTCACTGCGCACGTGCTATGAGCGCAGCCCAGCTGTTGAAACCAGTTTTCCCCCGAAAAGTCGGGGGAAAATTAGTGAAACGTTTGAACTCCGATTTCGCGCGGTTTTTTTCATCGCGTTATTCTCAACTTTATAAGTTGAATTTGCATTTTTGACGATTTGTTTCGGTAAGTCCATACCGAAAGGTATCAGAATCTGCAAAGTTGTGTTTTACGTTGCATGTGACCTTTCAGTTCAGTCCCTGACTGCGTCATAGCAACAGACATTAAACGATGGGATTTGTTGTTGCCCTGCCTGAGGCATTAAAGCGGTGAAAAACGCACAAATCGTCACTGAGCCAATATAATGTTGCTGAGTAAGGACTCAATATAATTAATTGTTACATGATATCCTAGTCGGCGAGCACCATAAATCCGGCATTATAGTTAAAATGGATAGAAATATCATTAAAACGCCCGCATGTTATCAGAAATGAGCGGGCCACTGTTATAAGGGCGACGCTATTTTTCAGGGCATTATCATTTGCAGAAGCCCGAGGTCTTTCAAATTACTTGACGACGGGCCATTATCACGCCCGTTGTTAGGTGACGCCATAAGGAGCTCAGTTCTTGATGTTCAATCACCTACGGCTCGTTTGAACTTGGGTTCAATATTGATGATATTTCTGACTCACATTCGTCACATGTACCTGTGCAATGATGCACTTTCTTGCCGGTGCCAACCTTAACAATTGTACCATAAAGCACAACATGCAGCAATGAAAACAGGGACTGGAACTCTTACGTTGTTCAGCATTGAAAAGGTCGAATGTCGTCACCCTCAATAGTGACGTCATCTGTTTTGTTCTATGTCGTTTCCATATTTGTAAAAAGTGTGTCAGTGACCTCCGTCGTTTATGTTAGCAGTAAATGCTTCAAAACCGATACCATTGTTTGTTTCTATTTTATTAAAAATTCTATCCATTTTAGCTATAATAACGGTAACGCTATTTTTCAGGGCATTATCATTTGAATAAGCCCTGAAAAATAGCGTTACCGTTATATTAGTCCGGACTTGTACAAAATTCCAAAGACACAAACGTGACAGCAGGCATAAGTTACCCATGACGATACAGGTTAGAACGGGTCTTTAGCAATCCGTGTTTGTCGTAACGCGACCAACGCGATCATATCATATATCGTTCGTCATGACATACTGCGTCCCCCTTGTCTGATATCCTATGCAGTCGTGTTATGGTGTATATTGTTTCGGTGACCCCAGTGCTCCTTTACAGCTAACGAACCCGGACGTATTGGACGTAGGATATGGCTAGCTATTCTCGAAATGTTCGTAGCCCTACGAACTTCTTAAGCCCATTCTTAACACATTGGCTTCGATCAAATGTAAGAATTCTTCGTGTCTTCTCATGGTCGTTGACTTCCGACCAGCTGCGGCATTTGATCAAACAACGAATCACGACACTTTTCAATTGTTTTCATTTTTTCAAAACATATCCTGAAGGAAAACTGACATTGCTGAAACGTATAGAAGTATTTGTTTAGTAAAAATCAAGTACAACGTGAACACTAAGTATGTTTCTAATTTACAGTAAATAACTAAATGTCTTTTTTTCGGGATGAAACATGGAGATATCGGGAGTTGCATTGTCTTGATGGAAGATCACACCTTCCTTCAGTTTTTCACCTCTTCTATTCTCCATTATATTCCATACAATATGCTCTGTTTACTGTCTGACCTTGACTTCAGTCATAACGAGAACCACGGGATCACCGGACAAGGAGACTTTAACCTTACTGATTGTAGGATATTCTTTGTCTTCTTTGGAGGAGGGGGTGGTAAAAACTTGCTCTGTTTCGATTGCTGTTTGTGCTATGATGAACCTAGGTTTCATCCACAGTCTGCAAGATCAGCTTCAAGCAGCACCTGAATACTACCAGGCATGTTTTTCATCAGGTGTCGGTTGCTCTGGAACTAAAGGAGCTGATACTTTTGTCATTGATAAACATATTTTGTTGTGTAATTGAATGTCCTGGGAAAAAATCTCTACACATTTGTATACAGGAGACAAAATTGAAAATTAACATATGGTTTTCAGTTTTAAAAGTAAATGTTCCATCGTATCGCCTGATTTTCTGGTCTGTTTCTAGTCTGGTTCGATTACGCGCCGCCGTTCCATAGAAGGAATCTTGACGTGCGGTGTGAAGAAC